CAAGTAGCTGGCACTACAGGTATGTGCTCCCACGCCCGGCTAATTTTTGATTTATTGTAGAGATGAGGTAAGTTGCCCAGGCGGGTCTTGAACCCGTGGGTTCAGGCAATCCACTCACCTCAGCCTCCTAAAGCACGGGATTACAGGCTGAGCCACCGAGCCCGGCTAGAAATCCATATCTAAAAAAAACAAAAAGTCAGGCATGGTGGTGTATGCCTGTAGTACCAGCTACTTGGGAGGCTGAGATGGGAGGATCACTCGAGGCCAGGAGGTTAAGGCTGCAGTGTGCTCGACCACTATAGATGAGGCCACTATACTCCAGCAACCTGGGTGACAGAGTGAGACCCTGTCTCTTTTACTGGGTAGGGTGAACTGTCGGCTCAGGTGGGCTGGAGAATGGCTGTGACAAAAGCATGAGGCAGGCAGCAATCATATTAACCTCTGCAAAGGGCATATCTACCTGCCAGGACAGGAGCTAAGGAAAGAACTGTGACCATGATTTAGATCTGACTATTTATACAGTTGCAATTAAGGTGACCTACACTGCCACTATCTAAACTTACTTTTGTTGTAAGCCCATTTGATGTGTTTTTTTTTTTTTTTTTTTTTTTTTAGTTACAGTCTCTGTCACCCAGGCTGGAGTGCAGTGGCACAATCATGGCTCGTCACAGCCTCAACTTCCTAGGCTCAGGCAGTCCTTCTGCCTCAGTCTCCCAAGTAGCTGGGACTACATACAGTCTAGTGCCACCAGGTCCAGCTAATTTTTGTAGAGACGAGGTCTCACTATGTTGACCAGGGTGGTCTTGAACTCCTGGACTCAAGTGATCCTCCCATCTTGGCCTCCCAAAGTGCTGGGATTATGGGCAGCTACCACACCTGGACTTACCCCTATAGATATTTATAAGTCAGAGGCCAGATAACCACAGGCAGAGACTGCACACTGTATTTCGTATTCTTAACTTATATCTCTAGAAAAGACCTGCGGGGGGGTGGGGGTGGCGATTAGACCAACTATGCTAAGGTGAAAATAGGAATTTTATGAAATCTTCTCAAAACTTCTGTCACAACCTGTGGATACGAGACCAGCCCGGACAATTTGGTGAGACCTCGTCTCTACAATTTAAAAAAAAAATTAGCCAGGCATGGTAGTACATGCCTGTAGTTCCTGCTACCTGGAAGGCTGAGGTGGAAGGATTGCCTGAGCCCAGCAGGTTGACACTGGGGTGCCTGTGAGTGTGCCACTGCTCTCCAGCCTGGGCGATGGAGTGAGACGCCAACTCAAAAAACCTAAACAAAAACAAAAACAAAAAACTTCTGTCACAAGACCTTGTAGAAAGCATCATTGCTTCTATCAGAATTATCCACAGGAATTCCTGTGCAAAGGGACCACAGAGACCAGATCCTCACTGCTCTTTGAATGAAGCTAGTATTCAACTCAATTCACACATATTAGGATGCCTCTATCACCAAGTGGCCTGAAGTGGTAGGTGCCAGGATGATCCAGGTGATTGTCACTCTACGCACCCAGGTGAATGGATGTGTCCTTAAAGGCTCACGACATACGTCAACATACCTCATGCTGAAATCTCACAGCCACCCAGGGAGCAGAAGGAACAAGTGACCAAAACCGATTACCGTGGTGATTTTTCCAACAATGTCAATGATTCCTCAGAGATTTCAACCCCAGGGTCTGCCGATAGAGTCACTCCATCACCTCTCCCCCACCACCATCACAGCACATATGACCCCTCAGAAATGATACTGCCTCCTCGTTTGTCTCCCCCTAAGAAGATGAATTGTGTCAACAGTTCCCAACCTTTGTTGGCATCAGGAACCGATTTCATGGAAAGACAGTTTTTCCCCAGATCAGAAGCAGGTAATATGCAGTCAAACCTCACCACTAATCACCACCTTAGCTCCACCTCAGATCATCAAGCATTAGATTCTCATGAGAAGTGTGCTACCTAGCTCCCTCATATGCTCAGTTCACAATAGGGTTCATGCTTCTATGAGAATCTAATGCCACTGTTGAGTTGACAGAAGGCAGAGCTTTGCTCAAGCACCACTCACCTCCTACTGTGCCTAACCAGTACTGGTCCATGGCCCTTGTGTAGGGTCCCAAGCATCTTGCGCACTGATCTGTCCCCAGTGCCTCTAACAGTGCCTTGTACAGTCAAATGAATCAAAGATATCCTCTCACGGACTGGTTTTCCTATCCAGTACTGACACTGTCATGTTAGTCCATGTTAGATCCCTTGGGGACACTTCACCTGAGTACATCTTGTGGGAGTGTTGCTTATCTTGTTTGCACCATAGTTCTATATAATCTGTTTTCCTTGAAGGGATGTAAAACTTTCTCCTCCAAAGAGTTCCAAAGTCTGTACTCGATAGATGACCTATGAACCACAAAAGGGAAATATTCTTCAAAAATCTGGAGGATATCTCACCCTGGTGATCATTAATATTGGGGCAACCGACTTATGTGTTTCATATTTAATATTGTGTTCTCCCTGATGGAGAACAAAATGAAGATCACCACCTAAGCTATGAGGGATTCTGGCCATCTAGTGAATTCTTTCTTCTAGCTCACAGAAAATTCAGGAGCTAAAGAAAAAGTTATGTAACACCAGGAGGAAAAACAGACAGATAAAGAAACTTCAAGAAGTTAAATGTCACAAAAACAAATCCAGTGGGGGACAATGTTCTACATGAAAAGAGACAAAACTACAAATACGTGCATGAATCTTTCTCTAAAACCAACATATGAGAACTTTTTTTTTTTTTTTGGCAATTGGGAGCATATGGAGCAGATATGATTATTAGTAAGTTTCTTAGGTGTGATCATGGTATTGTGGTATGTGGAAGAATGTCTTTAATCTTAGGAAACTGCAGGCTGAAGCACTTAGGAGAGAAAGCATTACAGCCTGACTGGGTTCTTGTGCCTGCTGAGCAGAAAAGCCAATACACCAACAGCAGTTGTTGCCATAGAGAGTTTAATAAACACAAGTCTGCCTAGCAGGAGGATGAGAGAGATTTGTCAAATTCGCCTCCCTGAGAATTCAGAGGGTAGGGTTTTTAAAGGTAATTTATTTGGTGGGCAGGGGCCCAGGGAATTGGGGCTGCTGATTGGCTGGGAAATTGAATCACAGAGACGTTGAAATTATCTTTGTGTGCCAAGTCCAATTCTGGGAGGTATGTTCACAGGTCACTGGTCCTGTTGGCATCAGGTCTGCCAGAATGCAAAGTCCAAAAAACATCTCAAACAGCAGACTTAGGTTTATGCTACCTATAAGAGCAATTGGAGAAGTCACAAATTGGGTGAACAATGGATGTAGGAGAAAACTCTAAAGATCAAAGTTACTCACATCCTATCGTGAAGTAGTAAACTTTAGGATGTCATCTAGGAGATCTGATGGCTCATTGTTTAAGGGACCTTAGACTCAATGTTGAAGGGAAAATGTTTACCAACCTATAAGGGAAGCTTCCCTCAACCTCAGGGGTAAGGACATGATGATAATCAATTGTTCTTGAAGGAAGTTTGTGCAAACCATCATACAAGGAGGAACCCAACCTTAGAAACAACAGATTTGTTAATTTCTAAGCATAGCTGCAAATTTGCAGGGCTCTTCTACAGTTTTTACCCCGTGGCCCTATAGTAACTTTTATAGGCGATTTCAAGAAGGAAAGCGACTGTGGAAAACAAACAGGTCACAGGTGATTGACCTTGAAGACAGGTGCAGTACCTGGGCGTTCATGGAACCCTTCCATTTTTCACGTGGCGAGATCCAGGCCAAGCTGTTCACAGCCCCACAGCTGAGCAGCCAGAATGGGAAACTGTTTTCGGATGGCACTATTCCAAGGCACTGAGAACGGTGGAAGCATTGTTTCTGATTAAGCACCCCCACCCTAAGACCGGCAGGACCAGAGCCAGACAACAGCAACACCCACTCCCTGGCCCACAAGCCACTCCACTCCTCCCTGGGAGCCCTGGGTGGTCTTGAACTGTCCAGACAAAAGGACAGTTTCGAGAGGTGTTCCCCAAGAGCAAGTCACTCCCTGGGGCTCCACACACAGGCCACTGTAACCTGGAGTCCCATGGAGTCTGGAGAAGAGCTCCCTTTTCTTCTGAAAGACCACAGACCTCCTGGGGCTTCCTCTTTCCAAGCCCGCTCTGCTGGGAGATGAACAGGAACGTCCCCCCAGGGCTGCCTGGAGGCCCCGCACGTGCGCGGCGTGGGAAGCGGGGGCGGACAGAGGAGCGGACCCAGACCAGAAACCCTGGCCCCACGTCCGCCACCAGGTGGGCTAGCCTCCGCCAGCCTCGCCTGTAAATGCGCCACGACACCGCCGCGCAGGGAGCG